TCTCTCTCTCTTTGTTTTTTGCCAATACCATCTTCTGTTTATCACAGCAGCCCTGTAACATAATTTCAAGTCAGGGAATATGATGGCCCCTACCTTGCCTTTGTTGCCAAGAACTGTTTTTGCTATTCTAAGTTTCTTCTCATTCCAAATGAATTTTAGGAATGTTTTCTCTAGTTCTGGGAGGTATAGAAGTGGCATTTTTATTTTTGGTATCTAGAATCAAATTCAGGCCTTTGCACTTGCTAGGCAGACTCTGCCACTGAGCTATATCCCCTGCTAATGGTATTTTACTTGGAATTGTATTAAATCTGTATAAAATTTTTGCAAGTTTGGTATTTTCACTATGTTGATTCTTTTTATCCTGTTGGTAGGAGTGTAGATTGGTACAATCACTAAGCAAATCAGTTTGGTGATACCTCAGAAATTAGAATTAGAGGTCCCATTTGACCCAGCTCTCACCCTTTTGGGTATCATCGTTGAAAAATTAAAAGCCTCATACCACAGAGATATAGGTGCACCCATATTTGTACTTGCACTGCTTGTAATAGTTAAAACTTGGAAACAACCCAAATGCCCATCAGCCAAGGAATGGATTAAAAGGATTTCTTTGTAAAATAATGGAGTTCTACTCAGCCATAAAGAAAGTTAAATTTGACACATTTCTAGGTAAATGCAACTTGAGACCATACTCTTACATGAAGTAAATTAAACAGACAAATGCAAATACCACTTTGTTTCCTTGGTATGAGAAACTGAAAGAGTAAACAAGGACCAAAATATACAATAGATATTGTGAAATTGTTCAAAATAAAAGAGAAACTTGGGTGGGGAAGAGGAAGGAAGGAAGGGAAAAGAAAAACAAAAAAAAATGAAAGAAGGATAAAATGGAAACAAAACTTCGTAATTAGTGAGGAGGAGAGGGCTGAAGGGAGGGGAGGGGACTGGGAGAAAAAGAGGAATCAAGAGACATCATGCACTGGTATAAACTCTCTATGATGAATATGATTGTTACATATTTCTAAATTGTACCATTAAACTTAACTTTAAAAATTGACAAGAAACAAAGAAACAGTAAAGGCACATGGATTGTGGGCAACAAAAGACATTTGGGTAGAAGCTTTTGTAATTTTCATAAGTGTGTGTGGGTACTTACTCTGACATATCCTGGCTGGATTAAGAGCCACCCACTCTCCATTCCTGCATGCCCTTATGATAGTTCCAAGAGTTCTGTATCCAGGCCGGCATTTGTACACAGCCTGCGTGCCCTCCGGATATGCTTTGTCAGGCCAGGGTCCTGACAGAATCTCTATGTTTTGTCTTGGAGGAGGTCCTTGACAATCTAAAAATTAAAAAAAAAGCAAAATAAGTGTCTATTCTGTCTATTTAAAGATAGAGTATATTTATTTTTATTTTAAAAGTACGCAGTTAAATGTTCATCCAAGTGTATAGTTAACATGTATACTCATTATTTGTGTGGAAACCAAATCCATATAACTCTGTAAAAATATCCACTATGTAAAAATAATCTGAATAAATTTTCAGACCATTGCATATACTTTATTATTCTTAATTGGTGCACACTCTTTAATCATTCTTTCATTAATAAGGCACTTTATAAGTTCTATACAAAGAATGATGAATAAAGCTAAGTATCTCTTTAAAGTGCTTTCATTGCAGTAGGACACTTGGATATTAAAAATAAAGATATTTAATGTGCATTATAGAAATATACACTTTATTTCAGAAAATAAACCACTATGAGAGAATACAAACTATATGGGAACATTCAAATAGCATAAGATGGAGTGGAATAAAACAATATCCCTATTGTACTTTGGAATCAAAACAACAAACCCTGTGTGGGTTGGGTGAGTGAACGAGTGACTGAGTGTCTATATGTGTACTTAAAGGCAAATTGGAAAGAGAATTAAATGAGTTGAATCCAAGTGGGAAGGGCTTGTTTCCTGCAGACAAAGGTCTCTGTCCATTTCCTAACCTGTAAATTTTGTCAACTCTGGCTATGGTTTGATGATCATCATTTATACAAGAAAAAGAAATGGACAAAGAAAGAACCCCAAAGCCTTTGGGAGACTGTGTCCAGTTTAATCAATTCTGAAACTTGTGCAGAGTCAGGGTGTTTTTCTGGAGCTTCAAATGTTTCATAAAAGTAGAATGAAATTTTTGATGGTCTCAGGAAAAATATCAAAAAGAAAACAGGATTGTTTGAAATACTCAACCGTTATCACCATCAGATATCAGCTGGATTTGAAAGTCACGTGGAGTGAAATTTAAGAGCAGAAGCTCAATTGCAGAAGAACAGATAAATTCACAGGGGATGAAGAAGAGTTCTATTAATTTTTTTTAGTTTGAACATATAGACATCGTACATACATACGCATACACACATGCATGCAAGCACGCGCGCGCGCGCGCGCACACACACACACACACACACCATGCACAATGTTTGTCTTCAAAGTCTGAAACCAGCTATGGACTGACTTGAACCATAAGTGTACCGAGTTTAATTTACTTCCTGATTGGGTCAAAAGAAAGTAAAAACTCTTGTTGGTGGCAATAAATTACTTAAACTTTAGTCACTACATTTAGTTCATACAAAGTTTCGGGCTTGGATAAAAATTTCAAAATACACAAGCAAAGGAGAAAAATATGAGCATAATAGAAAATAAATATCTAGTAGAAGCAGATGCTCAGAAATAGATACTAGAACTAGTATCAGGATCTTTCAAAATAGTCATTCTGAGTATTTTAAAAGAACACTAGAAAAAAATGAACAAAATAAAAGTAAAGACACAATAAAATGACTCTAGAAAATGTTATCCTCAAACTATAACATCAATATCTGAAATAGTGACTTGTGGTGGTCTATATAATCAAGGGAATTCAGCAGGAAGCTTATTAAACTTCAAGGAATTTTGATGTAGACATATCCAGAGTGGAATCTGGAGCAAAACATCTAAACATAATACCATACAAAATAGAATAAAAGAATGCATTGGGCAGAGCCAAATGATTCAAAGTATGTTTTATTACAGTTCCAATAATAAAGAAGAAAATGAATAGAAACAAAAACCAAGATACGAGAGAACACAGCTCTCCAAAAATTGATTGAAGAAATTAACTCAGAGATTAATAATCTCTGCAAACATCTAAAGTGTATATACAAAAGAAAACTTATATTTAGACTCTGTTAAAAACCAAAGATTAAAAAAAAAACTGAAGGAGAAATCATTTCTTTCAGAACAGTAAAAATAACAGCTAAGTCTGTCATAGTAAATATTAAAGTCTGAAAATCAATGTCTTGACATTTCTAAAGTACTGGAAATTATGTGTCAACAGAGAACTCTATATTCAGTGAAAATATACCTCAAATCTGAAGAATAAAAACATATTCTCAAACAAAAAAGACTAGAGAGAATTCTCCAATAGCTGCAAAAGCACCAAAGCAAGTTCTCTGGGCTGAGGAAAACTGACCCCAGATTTAAGTACAGAGGTACAAGGAGTAAGAGTGCAAATGGAGAGAATAAATAGCTAAATAAAAAGACTATGGAAAAAAGATAAATATTATTTTATGCATCATTTGTTTCAGTAAAAACAACCATTGACTACTTAGATCAATAATAAGTGTGCTATGTAGTGTTATAACAAAATCAAGAATAAAATATGTATTAATAGCAAAGATACCAAAAGAAAAGCAAAATTAAATTTCTGTGGAGTTTTACATAGTCCAGGATGTGATAAACATTCTTAATTTAGAGTAGACTGAATAAGTAGACACTTACAATTGCTAGAGTAACCACTAAAACAATGATACGGAGACATTTAAAATATCTAATGGAAATGCTCCAGTAAGAGGACAAAGAATATGCAATCAAAATAAAAAGAGGCAAGAAATGTGGAATACAAGCATAAGAACAAATAAGAAAGAAAGAAATAATAAGACATTAGGGCCAGGGATATAGCTCAGTGGCATAAGTGCCTTCCTGGCAAGACCAAGGTCCCGAGTTCAATTCCTGGTGTCAACAAGAAATAAATAAATAAATAAAGGATATAGCTCAGTGGCATAAGTGCCTTCCTGGCAAGACCAAGGTCCCGAGTTCAATTCCTGGTGTCAACAAGAAATAAATAAATAAATAAATAAATAAATAAATAAATAAAACGTTAGACTTCAACTGAAAACTAAAAGCAAATAAAATAAATTCACTATTCTGCTTAAGATACAAAGATTACAAGAACAACAAAGAAGAAAAAATCAAGTGTATGATAATTAGTTGTACTAAAATTTTCCATATAGTCTCAAATAGTGACATCTAAATAAAATCTAAAATTCTATCAGTTTCAAATTGAAGCAACCAGCAAAAGAAAATTTCTAGAGAAAATAAGAAGCAGCAAACAACCCTGCTGAGAGAAGTCAGCTTCCAGGTTCTAGGTGATAACTACTTTTAAGCTGAGGCTGAAGGACTATGATTCCACCTACTCAGAAGGAATCTGGCCTGGTGGCCTACTCGCTTACCCCAACATTGGGCAGGCTGAGGGAGAAGGATAACAAGTGAAAAGTCATCATGAGCGATGTGGTGAGAACTTATTGCATAACAAAATAGAAAGAATGGAGGTGCAGCTCAGCACATATATGACCTGCATTTTCATCAATTCCAATTCCCACCCCCCAAAAAATATTTCTCATGCAGTGGATGGAACATTAGAAGCTGTGGCAGCAGGTGACACAGCTAGCACAGCCAGATATTCCTGTTAGGAAGTTTTCCTCACGTTTATAAACGTGATTGATAGTTTTAGACTGAAAACCACCCCAGCAGTTACAACCACTGTATAAGATGGAATGAAGTTGATTCCAGTCTTTACTTGTAAACACACAGATGCACATAAAAAATAGAGATTTAAGAATTACATTTAAAATATTTGAAAACAAAACATACAGTTACCTTATTTTCATATTTTTAAACTGACCACTATATCTGATTTTCTTTTTAACTCACTGTTGTTTTGGTGCTATGTACAATCATTCTTGCTTACTAGCCTTTTTGAGCTGTTTTTCTTTTCTTTTCTTTTGAGTTTTCTTTTTAAAAAAATTTTAAGTGATGGTTAAAAACATAACAATTGTACATGATTAGAGTTACCAGACTAAATTCTGAAAAACATAGACATTGTGCACCTATGAAATTAGATTATCTGTATTTATATTTCTCCAACCTGCCATTTCTTTAAGGAGAAAATATTCTTTTCTAAAAATTTACATTTAGTTGAACATATTTATGGAGTATCATCTGAAGACAGATTCACTTAAAAAGTGAGTGGTTAAAACACAGAGCAGCCAGTTCCCAACAGCATGAATGTAAGATAGAAAACATCAGGAGATCAATTCAACTTGAAGAAAGCTAGAATTGTCTACCTAGAATTCTCTATAAAACCTTTTTCCAAGAATAAAGATTGGTTAATACATTTTTGAGGAATTTGCCACCACAGTGTCATGTGAAGGAGAAAAAGAGATGTACTTCAGAAAAAAAAACCCAATCCTGGCCATGGGGTCTAAAAGAAGAAAGGAACAAAGAAAATGGTATATATGTGAATAAATCTAAATGAATATTGGTTATAAAACAATAAAAATCATGCATTTTAAATACATATGTGCATACACACATAGAATAAAATATTCCTGCGTAAAATGAGAAAAACATAAATTAAATTAATGTCTCATGAGTTCCTCAGGGTGCCTAGAAGAAGGAAAACACATGAACTACCTCTGATAGATTTCCTGATAAGTGAGTTTGTTTAGTGAAATACTAATCTAAATGTTACTGAAAAGTCATATCCCCAGTTAGAATATAGTCACTTGACTTTAAGCAAGGTAATTGATTATCTTGAATTATCTGGATAGGCCAGACCAAGCCGCCTGACCGGTGGATTGCAAAATTGCTTCTGCGGTACCACGACTGTGTCGGAAATTGCCCTTAAGATATAAAGATACACACATATATATTTATATATTATATATGTTTATATCTTATATGTTCATATCTTATATGCAATACATATTGATATATACATATAAAGATATGTATATATAAAGGTATGTTATATATGTATGTCAACAGACTAATCCGATTAGATTTCTCTGTTGAATCCCATGAAGTTAATTAGACATTGCTAGGTTAAAAAGGCATGTGCTGTGGCTTTGACATTTGTCTTGTCCCCAGATTTCCATGTGTAAACCTAATCAATATGAAGATACTAAGAGGCGAGTCTTTTGTGAGGTGATTGGCTCATAGAAAGTGTTTCCTGCTCCCTTCCACCATGCAAGCA